AGTATTCGTTCTTTTTCGTTTACGTCCCAAAAAATCTGTTACAGATCATCATGATTGATAAGATCGAACCAGTTTGCAAGGACGTGAATCGATCCATTATCGATTCCTAACGGCAGGTTAGCTTCCCATCTATCTGTCCACCAAAACGAATCAGCAAAAAGAATATTGTGTACGAAAATATTTCAAAAAAAAAAAAAAAAAAAAAAAGAGAGTGAGAAAGATAGATGTGTATATGTGTATTCTTTGATAATTATGACAATGGATTGAATAAACAAAAAATTTATTTTATGATTTATTTTATAATATAAATAACTGTAATATAAAACAAATCATAATTTTCTTTTTTTTTTTTTTTTACTTAATCCACCATCATAATTACTGGCGCATTATAAAAAGAGAGAGAGAGAGAAAGAATGAAAGTAATCGGATAAGCTGGTATAGTGCTATTTTTAAAGAAATAATATGTTTATATGTAACATATGTATATATATATATATATATGTGTGTATATGTACGATATATCCTATATCTATACATATATATAGATGTATATGTATATATATCTATATAAATGTAATATAAATATTATCACAGTATTTTACAGCAATATACTATTTACACAACGTCATAAACATATTTCACTTTTTTTTTCTTTTTTCTTATTTTACCTTCATTATTTTTTTTGTTTTTTTTTTTTGTTGCTTAATATAAGACATCTCAGCTGGACGTTTATTGTTAATTTAATTTAATTTAATTTAATTTAATTTAATATAATTATTAATTAGTCTATAATTATTAAACGTCATCTCGTTTTGTACTCTGCGCGTCCTTTTCTTTGCACTTCTTCTCAAATCTGCGCATTTTATTTCGCACTAATAATAATAATACAACGTAATTAAATATTACGTTAGTATTAATATATCTTCTTTATCGTTTTCCTTAAAATATCTACACGTGGATCTTTCATTATCATGCACAATACAAATTATCTTCAATTGTTTATTACAATAGTACCCTTTCGATGATTCCTTGAAAAAATTCCAAACAAATAGCAAAACCAAAAATTCAAACAATGTCGAAAGATCCACGAATAATTTAAAAAAAAAAAAAGAAAAACACAGAAAATAGTAAAATAAACAAATAAAACGATAGACACAGAAATCAACAAAAAAAAAGAAAACAACAACGCATACAATACGGACGCACAAAACATACCTTTTATATACGCATGCACAATTTCAACGACTAATTGTAAGATTTGTAATTTAAGAGCGATTTCAAAATAAAAATGTTCAATCAAATTAATTAAAAGAAAGAAATATTAAAAGTTTGATTATTAAGAAAAAAATTGGCGAAAAGCACCAATGTGTGGAATGGGAGTGTGGTGCGGACATTGGACGGAACAAACGAAGATCGTTAAAAGTAAAGTATCTGCTTAAAATCTAATAGAATGTGTGAAAATAAAGGAAGAAATGTAATCAAAATAATAATAATAATAAGAAGAATAATAATAATAATAATAATATAATAATAATATAATATTAATAATAAAATAATAATAAAATAATAATAATAATAATAATACAAATAATAATAATAATAATAATAATAATAATAATAATAATAATAATAATAATAATAAAAGAAACAAATACTATCTACTGGACATGCCATTTCGGTACGCAACACTTTACACAACAACGTACGATGCACAATAACAAGAACAACAATGTACGATTATTCGAAATGCACAGCAATGCCAAGCGTGCACTGCCGAGGGATGAAGAGAGAAAGAGATAATATAAAAATAAAAAAGAATAAAAGTTCGGGATAAAAGAAAGAGCAGGGACAGAGAGAAAGAGAGAGAGAGAGAAAGAAAATGAGAGAAAAAGAAAGAAAGAAAGGGGGGAAAAAAGAAGAGTTCAAATTTCTCCTCTTTCTTTCTGCACGGAATTTGCGCTTTTACAAACATAAGACGTTTCTACCTTCCTTCCCCCTTTATTCCACGTCGGCGGAGAAAGCCAAAGCTTTTTTTGTAGGAAAAAAAAAAAAAAGGAAAAAGAAAAAAATTCAATAACATGACGAAATATAAAAAAGGTTTGCTCACTTTTAGAAAGGAGGAGAGGAGAGAATTGGTAGGAAAAATGTGAATAATGTATTTTTTATTATTTTTTCTTTTTTGTTTGTTTTTTTTTCTTGTTAGAGAAATTGATATAAAGAAAAAAAAAGGAACGGGAAAGAAATAAAAAAGAAATCTTGAAGGATAACATATCATATCATATCATATCCTGTTGAGTAACACGCGCGAAGATCACCGTATGACCAGAGCGATTTTTTTTTTCTTTTTTTTTTTTCTTTTCTTCGACTAATTATTCTCGTTTTTCTTCCCCCCCCCTTCCCTCAAAATAGGCGATTCATATTTTTGATTGCAACATTTAAACGAACAACGATACCTATTACGTTTTGTCATGCCAGAGGTGACTTCATAATGCAAAATATAATTTTATAATATTTTTCTATAAAATATTATGTATATATATATATCTATATATATATGTAAATATACACAAATATAAATAAATATCTTCTTCATTTTTGTTGTTGTTTCCTATTCTTTTAAATTAATTAATAGTACAAAAAGAAAAAAGAAAGAGAAAGATAGAAAAAGAGAAAAAGAGAGAGAGAGAGAAAGAAAGAAATAAGAATAGCAGAAGATTCTTTTGTCACGAAGATATCCAGTTAGGATAGTTCTAACAGGATAATTCATCACAATAAGAAAAGTTCATTATAATATTAATAGTACTCTAATAAATCTACGATTTACAATAATTTATACACGCTGATTTGTATCTTCTCTTTTGTTTGTTTCTTTTCTTTTTTTTTTTTTTTTACTTTCCTCCTCTCTCGTGTCATGTTTTCTATACTTTTATATGGATTTGTATTTAATTTAAATCTTTTACTTTTCATTTTAATCGCGCGCATCATTCGTGCTGATTAAAAATCTAAAAGGGAAAATTAAATCGCATCCCGTTTGAAAACATATCTCTCGAAGAAGAAGAAGAAGAAGAAGAAGAGACACGAAAGTTTGTCTTATAAATATGATAATAGCTAGTTTTCATCGAATCGATCGTCGATCGATCGGATGCCCACTTTTGGACGCTAGTTTTTAATTATGTTTTTTCCTGGGTGTGCATGGATGTATTAAAAAATTAAAAAAAAAATAAAATAATATGAATAAATAAATGCACCCGTAACGCGAGAACCACATCGACCGCATTCTTCTTATTAACGAGAATGAACGATGGCTGCTGATTAGCATTTCTTTCGTCGTTCGCGAATTCTTTAAACTTCAATCGACGAAGCATTAACGATCTAATAAAACAAAAATAGCACCGTTAAGGAAATTCCTCCCACGTTGTGTATTTACAAATTTTGATATACGCGCGAGATGTTTCGTAATATATGTGACTCCCACTTAAGTAGTGAACACTTAAAACAATGACAAAATTTCATAAAAAAACATGTGCCCTATTCAAACGTGTGATTACAAACGGGGAGGAATTATTTTTGAAAATTTTTCATAACGTATACGTAAATAATTATTAATAATTAAGTGTTATAGTTCTAACGTGTCGACATAATCTATACAATGACGTGCGAACATTTATTTGAGTAATTTCATTGAGAAATCAAATGAAATTATTATTCAACATAATTCAACTACGTTGAAAATTTCTGAACAAATATTCGACATTCCGTTCTTATTTCATTTTTTTTATCTTTTCGCGTTAATTCGAAAATGATCAAAAAAAAAAAATAATAATAATAATAAATACGAAACGTGTGAAGAAAAATATCGCTTTTCCTTTTTGAAAACTCGATGTTTCTCATTGATTGAATAACAGCAGTCGACGAACGATCGATGTCGTGATAGTTTAACTATTAGACTGAACCAATGTTTCCTTTTTACCGGTTAGCCGAGTGTTACTTGCGGACGACGACGACGACGACTATGCACCTCTCTTCAGCAATAACATAACGTTCCTACTTCCGTAATACGCGTCGGTTGGACTAGATTTGTGAGCAGAAAAAGGAGCCCTGTTGGCATTCTTACGCTCCTCTTCAGTCTCTTCCGACGTTGAGGATGCGTCATCTTATTCGGATCGCGGATAAATAATACAAAAACCGTTCAAAACTTGTCCTAACAGTTTCACAATTGATTTAATAGGCAACTGATCGAAGGGACAAATCTTAAACGATACAGGAGTGGAAAATGATAAAGGAAAACGTCCGCGAACCGTATATCGACGTATGAAAGCTCTATTTATCTATCTTGGACGGAATCGAACGGATAATATGTACGTTTGTTTGTATTTTTTCCTATCGAATTTAAAGTAGCACAAAAGAAAAGTGCTTAGTGGTGTCAAAAGTAATCGGGAAAGTAAAAAGTAAGATCAGGGTGGTGAGGATGAGGAGATGGGGCATTGGAAGAAGAGGATTCGGGATCGAGGAAGGGTGATGGGAAGGATGGTAAATAGGAAGGGTGACGATGGGGATAAGAATGAGTGTGAGTATGAGGATGAGGATGAGAATGGGAATGAGGATGAGGATAAGGATGAGGATGTGGATGAAGATGTGGATGAGGATGAGGATGTGAATGTGGATGTGGATGGGAATGAGGATGGGATAGGATAGGGGAGTTTAGGTGGTACTACCGTTGAGGATGCGAATGAGACATATGAGGATGGTATGCTGCGTGATGAGGTGGTAGGGGCGAGGGACAGGATTGTTGATATGGTCCACCGGCGAGCATCGGTCCAGGACTGGAACAGGGTACGAGGTGTGAGCTCGGCGATGCCGCATGCGCATGCGCGATCAGATGAGCGTGCTGCGCGTGCGAGGGCGGCGCGTGCTGCGAAGCCGGTCGGTCCGCCGCCCGCTCCAGGATAACCACCGTGTAGGGAACCACCGTGAGGCGAGCCATAGACCAGTTGCCTTACTTTCTGCTCCTCGTCCCCGATGTTGTAGGTCAACTCGGTCTCCTCGAATCCAGTCGCCGACATCCGCTGGTCACCGGAGGAGCCAGAAGGCGGTGGGTCCGGACTGTTCAGACACGTCTGGATCAACGCTTTCCCCGCTTCGCTGGTTATCATTGGTTGCAGTTTGCGCGTCGCGAACGTGTACACGTGTCCGGTCTCGCTAGCTACCAACAACATCACTTGCGTCCCGGTCAACGTTGACAACTCGTACGCCTGCGAATGCACAAACAAAAAGATCTCACCTGTCCATATCTATCCTTTTACATTAATATTTTCATTCCCTTTGCGAAGTTTCCATTTCAAAGATCACACTCGAATACTTACCTATAACATGTTTCTTTGTTTTTAATGTTCCTTCCAAAAAAAAAAAAAAAAAAAAAAAAAAAAAAAAACCACGCGACAGATGTAAAATTATGTTAGGTAAAAAAAAAAAAAAAAAAAGAAAAAAAAATCATTGAAAATGATCCTTATCAAATTCGCGATAAAACCTTTAACTAGAGATTGCCGGATTAACTTGGGCAATTAACGTTCGTTATGACTTTAAACGATGCATTGATGAAAACTTTATTTATTAAGTGCGTGCGTGCATGCATATTCTTTCTTTCTCTGCTCGTTAGACTTTCTAATTAGATTTTGTCCGCAGATACATACCGAATATACCCGTCCTACCCTTTACGCACATTATAAAGAGATAACGATCGCGAGAGGAGCATATAAATACGCGTACTCCTGTACGCAGCTGTTACCCGCCCGATCACGTGACTATCGGTTAAACGCGGCGCGCGAAACTTCGAAGTACCGCGCGCAACTCTTTCTTTCATCAAAACTATACACCTATAATCGTTTTAGCGAGTCAATATTTTAGAATAATAATTACAAAATGTAGAATATTTTTCTGTATATTTAATATTGCAAAAAAGTCGAATATTTTATTTATATAATTGCATTTCAATGAATTTATATAAAGAAGAATAATTGTGATCATTTGTGTTACGAATTTAAAAAGTGTCAAAATTATTTGCAATGTTTGTGATGTTGTAATTATATCGATTTAGATACTACTAAACAAATAAATAAAGGAGAATGAATGAAATCGAGAAGGAATGCAAATTACATAGCGACGAGTCATCGATGCGCTATACAAACTAATGTACAAACTAAGAGCCAAAATCGAATGGTCATTCAAAGACTATACATATAGATAGATGAATAAGAAAAATAGATAGCCTTTTTAATTCTAAACCTAGTTGTTTACAGTTGATAGTGCAATGAAAAGAAAGTAAGAAAAAAAAAAAAAAAAANAAAAAAAAAAAAAAAAAAAAAGAGAGCGAGAGAGAGAGAGAAATCCACGTTAATGTAATTAGTAAAAATAAAAGAAAAATAAAAGGAAAAATAGTTGATACGGGATGGCCTTTGATCGTATATACGAAGCTGTTAGACTTTGGATGACTTTTGAGATGACTACATGTATTTTAGGAGATATTAGGATGCGTTGCTATTATTATACTACGTTTCTACTCCGACAGTTACGCCGGTAAGCTACGAAAGTGAAGGAAAGCGAGTATAAATAAACCGAGACCGTAGCCTTAATCGTGCTTAGGCGAGCTATTTACTTACATCGCTCACGTATTTCCATGGAATTGATTAAAAAAAAATACGTATCTCTATTAATCGACCGATCGACCGATCGACCGATCGATCGATCCTTCCGGTAGATATCGATTCAATAATCAACCAAGTTATCGTCTGTTCAAAATTTTCTTTCATGTTCCTGCATATCCGTTAATTCAGATTGATATGAATGTTATCATTTAATTATCAATTCAAAGTTTTTTATCAATTTGTTTTTATTTTATTTGTAGATTGCAACATAATCTTGTGCATGAATTAAAAGAATTTTGTGCTAATATTATTCATAATTTACACATACACTCACACACACACACACATGATTCTATAAACAAAAATCCAACAAGACAAACAATCAATAGTAATTCAAGAATGATTGTTTATCAAATAATTATTCTCATTCAATTCTAACTATAAAAAGGTGAATTTATTTTTTTCATACATTATAGAATTCATGTTATATGTGAAAAAATGTAGAAATAATACAAAGTAAGGTAATAAAATTTGTGCTATATAAAAACTGTTTTCACAAGACTTTGTTACAAGAGAGAATCGAGTATACATTTATTTATCAATAATTTTGATAAATATAAAAGCAAATATAAGATGATAGTAAAAAATAAAATATAATTGAAATTTAAATTGAAACAAAAGAAACAAATTATTGTTTATTGTTAGATAAGGATTAAGTTCGATCGAAGGATTAGAAAAACAACTACAATTGCCATACTCGTTATTTGTTAATGTCATTGTTATTGTCAATGTTAATTGTCAAATAAAAATGTAAAAAAAATAACTGGGAAATTGAATTAATCAAATTTGACAATTGACGATCATTTAAAAAGATTTATAAATTGTAAATATTAAAAAATCCTGTTATTTTCCATTGGAAAATACGAAAGTAGATATTTTCCGAACGACCTAATAGTTAAAGTATAACTGCTGAATTTAAAAAGTCAGATTTAGGATTAGAAAGTATGTTGAAATAAAAGAAATGAAATATTATTAAAACAAGGATCAAGATCGATTGAAAGATAATTATAAATATCGTGCTCGTTCAATGTAATTCAAAATTAATGAAGAAGAAATACCGATGACGAATCACCTCCCTCTTTGAACTTTCGTATTAATCATTAAACTGGTTACTTAATCGTTTAGAATGGAAATTGAGGAAGAGTATGTAGACAACTCGAATATCTAATCCACGCATTATAAAACATGTAAAACAAATGTAAAGAAGAAACGTCCATTTGATGAGTGATTTATTACGATCTTACAATTGATATAATGTTTGCATCATTGTTGATACGAGTATAATAAGATCGATTAATCAGAAAAGGATTGGCAATTGTTTGGCTCCGATTTTGTTAGCCTCTGTCAAAACGTTTTTGAAATTAAATAAAAAAAGTATTTCTTTTTCCAAATTATTAATTGATAATTCATTTTTTTTAATATTTACAATTTTACTTGTCATTGAAAAAGGGAAAATTAAATTTTATGAATACTTTGAACTTGTGCATCACATCTGAAGTGATAATCAAAATTTACTATTGTAGAATATTTATCAGTCAATTTTGTTGATTTATTAGCAAACTTTGTGTCGTAAAATTATACGATATGAATAAAATAAAAACTATTAATTTTACTCTGCATTATATTGTAAATCAAACCACAATTTTCCTTAAAAAAATATAATACAAACAGACTATTAAAAATCCTAAAACAAATGGAGTTCAAAAGGTTAAATAATTATGATAAACTATTTGAATTATTTTTACTTCAATTACAATGCGACTAATGAAATTATTATTTTCAGTTGCAACTGTATTAAACAATTAAATCTCTTACAAAGAATGAACTATTCAGTTTGATTTCAATAAAACTAACGTAGTTGTACTATAAATAACTAAATTATACTCGATGACGGATTCTCAAAAAATCTTTAATAGCAAAAGATTCAAAATTCACTTCTGACATTATAGAAATTTGAATTTATCGAATTTCTACATTACTTTCCCAGGAAATAAAATGATTTATCGTATAATTGAACGAACTTAACCGTTAATAAATATTTATATTTTGTTTGAAAAAAAGTAAAGCGTCTATCGACGGATAACAATGACCGACGTTCGATTTAACCGGATTTGATGGTTCAAAAAGCGCGCGTGAATTCGGCGCTCCTACGTAATTCAAATGAATCCGCGCGAAAGCTATTTCTAAGCGCCGCGCGCGGCTTTAAACATTTTTAGAACTTACTCGCCGTGTGTAACTTGATCGACCAAACAAAGCGTGCCGAAGCAACATATGTATTTGTTTTTAATCACTTTGCCATATCATTCGAATCGACATCACGACAGGTTTTACACAAACTGAACGTGAGCGAGCTTAAACTTGATGGGGGCTTTACTAGAGAAATAGAGATAGATATAAATAAACTCAAAGCTTAACGAGGAAAAGAGATATGCGTGGTAGGAATTTTGGCTTTGAAACTACAAATGGAAATGTGAAAAATTAAAAATTTGTACTTTTTTTTTTTTTTATACGCACGCGTCTTTTGCACGCGCGTCATTTTGTGAAAGTGCCTGAGGTTTTTGACTTATGACGAAACGAAAATACAAGGAGAAAAGTGAATGGAATATGAGGAGGAGAGTGAGAAAGAGATATAAAAGTAGTATGAGATGGGTTGGACTAACCTTCTTCATGATACCGGTCTTCCTCTTGGAAAACGTGGTATACCTCCTGAGCTTGTTATCAATGTACTCCATTTTAATCTTAACTCTTCCTTTCGTCTTTTTTCCATTAGAGGGTGGTGATTTTTTCGGTTGTCCAAGATTCGTGAATGACTCGTCGAGATTATCGGCGACACAATCGGACATTGTCATACCCTGCTGTTGCTGCTGCTGTTGTTGTTGTTGTTGTTGTTGTTGCTGTTGTTGCTGCTGCTGTTGGGAAAGTGCCTGTTGCCTGGCGTTAGTGTCGTCGGTGTAACAAACATCAGACGTGGTCCTCTTGATGCCTCTGCTCTGGACCGAGGGGACGCCGGGCGTCGGGCCGCCCCCGGGCATCATGGTGGCGCCACCACGTTGGCCCAACTGAGAAGCAGCAGCGGCAGCGGCGGCGGCGGCAACAGCAGCAGCTCCGAGTTGGGAGGTGGACGCTCGCCCGTACATTTCCGTGGCACCGTCGCTACCGATCATCCCCATGCCGTAGCTGAGATTCGCGTAACGACCGTCCCTTCCGCCGCTAGGGTTGTCCATCACGGAGCCCCACACATTTATTATTATCTACTAGCAGCCCTCGATCGAGCTCGATCGCCGCCACCAATTCACGTAAACCAACCGCCGCTCTGCTTCCCACGTGATCGATCATCTAGAGGAACACGGGACAACAACGCGCACTACACGAGCGCTCCCCGCGAACTGTGTGCGCGCGGTCCTATCGTAACTTGACCTACGTGCTCGAAGCGCTGCCTCCGCTTACCCGTGCGCGCCATCTACCCCCACCACGGCAAGCCTGCGCTGTTAAAAACTAGTCCACCCTTTCGAAATTCGATCCTTCCCATCAAGGACCTTACAAATTTACCCTTTATAAAAATCTATTTCAATTCCCTTTTACTTGATCCATTCTCTTTTCCCAGATTCGATCTCTATTTATTAAGATATTTCATCTCGATTTTAGGCCGCGGAGCGTTACACAGAACGCCGAGAGGGCGTCCCCGGCTGCCATATTTAGAAGTAGACGTTACCATATTAGGGCAAGTTTGCCAAATAAGGTGAACAGAGGTGGTCCTTCCTTTTCGAATGATTGCACGGCGCGCCACGGCAAAACACCAATCCAACTGACAGTAGCGTTTCCTGCACGCCTTTCCTGCCCTCCCTCCTCTCTCTCTCTCTCTCTCTCTCTCTCTCTCTCTCTCTCTCTCTACTCTCTTATGCTCTTTGAATACATGCTAGCTACGATTGATACCACGGGCGACGGATAACAGTCACTCTTTTAAGAACGGTGCTTTTCTCTACCGTCGATCTTCTATCTCCTCTTCCAATCGATTTTCTTATTATGTTTTACCTTCGACCGATTCCAACGCTATTAGAGATCCCTTTACAAAATTAACTTAGCCCTTTTCTTTTATTAAAGTATTGTATATATGGGATTTTTATTTTATTTATCAAATCCTCTTTATGAGATTCTTTAAAGTTTTTATTCAAGTGATACCCGATATCGGATCAATTTTAATCTTTTGTGATTATATTCAATAGTGAAGAAAAAAAATCTAAAATATACTGTTAACAACAAAATTTACTAATAATAAAAAATCCCTTTTAATACTATGCATTATTATTTAATGATATTATATTTACAATCATCTTTCATTAACACCTATATGTTACCATACATATTATCAATAATATTTTTAAATCCATTTTTTATGAGAAACAAAAATGTTCATTTCTTTCTATTTAAGATTCTAATCCTCCTTTACTTCTCGTAAAATACATCTTCCAAGTAATCTATAGAGAATATAATTATATTTCTTCTTATTTATCTAAGCGTATGTATATACATATATTTTCTTAATCATCGATATTTCGTGTTAATGCCTTTTAGACAACTTTACAAAATAATCATATACTTTCACTTATTATAATTTATTTTCTATTTTACTAAAATTATATTTGAAAAATATGTATATAATAACTTATATCGATACTGTTTGTATTGTTAATAACATTTTCTTAGGAATTCAATGACAGAATGTATTACAAATAAATCCTTCATATGTATCAAGAGTTCATTCTCCCGGTGCAATTGTATGTGCTGCATTAACCAAAGTTTCGTGCATTTCTTTGGCATAGGCTACTTGGGCACGTACAGTCATTAAAAATTGAGGATACGTTAAAGCTGGTCCTTCTTGAGCACTGACTGTGTCAGTGCGAGTTGGCAAAACTGTCATCGGTAGATATCTAATAGAACTTGAATTCTGCGACAAACACTCAATAGAAGTTTTTAAATGTAATTCCATTTGATCACATATAGAATAAAATTCCTCCATATTTTTATTGAATCTATGATCCAGTTGATCGATTCCCTTCAAAGATCCAATGTCTACCAAACTGTTTTGATGCAACGTTTGAGCTGCCGTCTTAATTCCTACTGCCAAAGATTCCCTCAATGGTCCAACCAAAGATTTAACTTTGGATATATTATCCAATTTTTCCTGCGCTTGTTGCTGTTGCTGTTGTTGCTGCTGCTGCTGCTGCTGCGCTTGCTGTTGTTGAGCTTGTTGTGCTTGTTGTTGATTTTGAGGCATTTGAGGATTTACCGGCTGTGCCATCTGATTAACAGCCATCGTTCCTTGCTGTTGAATCGGTGGAATATTCATTTTGCTCAGTTAACGTCGTTCTCTGTTAATATACACACATTTTCGGTTATTTATTATATTTAACATGTTCTCCTATTTGTTTCTAAAATAAATATATATATATATATATGTTTTATAAGAGACAAGAAAATGTTTTCGAATAAACTTTTATTTCAATTGTTTAAAATTCTTTTGTGTATAAATCTAAATAATTCTAAATACTTATATCTATCTTTAAGGTACTCTTGTTTATATAAAACTATGCTATTTCAAAATAGAAAAAATTACTATAATATTTAAGATTCCATATACTTGATGCAAATATAACCTAACCTATAACCTAACCTAAAACCTATCTAATATACGATTTCAATATTAGTAGTTATTTAAAAGGATTATAGTTTGCTAATTTATTACTATTATTAATATTATAATTATTATTATTAATTATCAGTAGATATATATTTACCTTTTAGTAATTTGTTTCTTCTGAAATTATGACAAAATCGTTCAAGTACTTAATTTATTTCACTTTGATCTTCTTTTGAAACAATATAATCAAACTAATACATTAAAATTCTGATTCAATGCCAATAACGAAAATTTTATTACCAATAAAGTTATCAATCATTTACTTTTTACGTATAAAGTATTCAAAAAATCTTTAGATTTTAACAAAAATATATATATTTTCGTATATCCTTTAATACAATACACTGCTAAACAGTCGAATAAAGTCGATTGCAATCGATTCAAATCGATTATTGATACGAGCCATTCATATACGCCTATGACTACACTTTTTAAGATCATCCAATCAACGAGCGTCTTTAATTCGATTATTAGTCGAGTTAAACATAGAATTTCTTTTTTTAATAACATTTATTAATTATTTATCCGCATGACTAAGCATACTTAACAATTAATTTATTATGAAAACGTAATATAAGTGAGGTACTTTTATTTTTTATAATTTCAAATAAAATAATTTCACCAATATACTAAAAACAACTTATTCCTTGAAAAAAATCATTATTCTTACAAATTATAATCTGTCTGTAATAAAAAAGGATTAATTTAAAAAACTGAAAAAAATCTAAATTCATTTTCAATAACATTCCAAAATTGACCAATGAGAGTGCGCGTATGATGCGAACGTCGCATTACATATGGCGTCAAAAAACCGACGCCATCTAACGACTGGCATTCCTGTTTTTTACGTGCGGGTAAAACCACGGCTTTCTGGAGCGCGGAACCTCTTTCCACAATTTTGTTTGCAACATCCAGTGTTTTAAGTGCATTTATTTGTGATCATTGCGATGCCGTGTTTATGGTGAATAAGATGATATACGCGAGAGAGCGTGAACGCGCTACAGAAATGTGTGGGAAGATGAGTTAACCGTGTGTTAAAGCGCGCAGCGGTCAACCTTCCGACAAGTTTAGTACGGGAATCTATCCATATTCAGGACTTGATTGCACCGAGGTAAATACGCTTTTAATTGAAAAACAATAACAACTACGTTAAGTTAATGGACTTTCTTGAGAATTATTTTCAACTTGGAAACTACCTTCGTGTTTATGTTTACCCCTCTAATTACCCCCCTCCTACTCCTTTACCATATTCCGCCCGCCACCCAGCAATTCTTGCCTTTTCTCTTTCTCTCTTTCTCTTCCTCTTTTTCTTTCTCTTTCTCTTTCTCTTTCTCTTTCTCTTTCTCTTTCTCTCTTTCTCTTTCTGTCTTTCTCTCTATCAATCTCTCTCAATCTCTTTCTTTCACTCTATCTCATTTTTTATCCTTTGCATATTTTTTTCTCTTCTCTATCTTCGTTCGAAAATTTTTCTTCTTTTTATTATTATTATTATTGTTATGATTTTTTTCTGATTATTATTTTTTTTCTTTTTTGATATTATTACCAGATTATATTGTTTTCTTTTATGGTAAAACATGTTGAATGATTAAAAACGTGTATTTAATTGGTTCGTGTAAGAATCAATCTATCTTTTTTAGATTGAGAGTAATTATTATGTGCAATTATAAGTTTTATGATAAATCGTCATAGTTGATTACTATATGACCTTGTTGTGGATGTTTTAAAAATGATATTAATAGTTTTGATTAATATTTATAGAATTAATGAGTATGTTTCTTCTTCTTAGTTTTTTACATATTTATTATGAAGTGTATCTCTATTGTTATAATCTAACGAACAATATTTTGTGGTTTTCTTTCCCAAAGCTTTAGTAGAAGGTTCAAATAGCAAAGAATGAGTGCATCAGCTGTTAAATCATCGATATCTGGAGTAGGGACATCCCCAACTTCGACTACTCATTCCATGCTTCCAATGAATGCTATGGCTCAAAAAGTAGTTCCTGGTGTGGAATCAGGATCTATGAAACCTTTAACCGGAACAGGATTAAGCTATGTTACGTTGCAACCACCCAGTCAACCTCTTAGTTTGGTACAAGATCACAGACCATCCGTTTATCAAACACCACCTTACATAAGTAACAATTCTGAAAAAGAGTCAGAATCGGATAAGCTTATACCAAACGGGATAGAAACTATTAAAGTGGAAACTGAACAAAGCGTACCTGCTTCTGTTAAGCCCAGCGAACCAAACAGGAATAATAACATGAGTCCGGAAAATTCGACCGAAGATGAACAACGAGAAACTCCGACAGAACCAGAAACAATTTCTCCTGCCTTAGAATGTTCAGGTTGACTATAATATTATATTATCTTTGTTTGTTTCATTATTATACTTAATATCTTTTATTTACTTTTGATCTTTAACGAAATCTTAACAGTATTTTTTCTTCTTTTTCTTCTTTAGCAATGTGTCCCCAGGGACAAAACAAAGTTGATGAAAAGAAAACTAGTGTAAATAATGGCTCTAAAGAAGCTGAAGGTGTACCAGTTAATGCTTCTCTACAAACAAAGTTATTGACGCATAAAACTGAAGATGCACCAGTTAAAACAGAAGTTCAAAAAAGTAAATTATCGTCGAATCAGAGTGCGAAATCGAGCGGAGATAGTCCAGCTGTAAATCCACCGTCAAATAATTCTACTAAAGCCGAAACAAAAGTAACGGTTTTGCCGAAAGCTAATAAACGAAAATCTAGAGAATTGAAGGATTTGAAAGGGATATCTTCGATTCCGGATGGAGCAAGTAAACCTAAGAGAAATCGTACCCAAACACAACCCTATCAAAGTCCTTTGCCAGAAATAGCGTTGCTTGTCAAAAGTTTAAACAAGTCTCCTGTGACTAAAGCTGCAGACGACAAGCTAATAGTATTCTATAAGTGAGTAATGTTAATTTATACGAAAGTATTATCAATATTATGCAAACTACGCACTAAATATATATATATATAATATTTTTATTTGCGTGTCGATATTGTGTAAATATTATTTTCAGGAATGAATTTCTGGCTGTGAGAAATGCAGAAGGAAGTTTTTACGTTTGCCAAGCGATGCATAATATTTATAAATCAAGCAGGCGTGTTCGTATTCGCTGGTTATCGCAAGATTCAAATAATGGAGAAATTTATTCTCCTGATTTTTATGATGTTACTGGTAATTTCAATTACTAAATTTAATATATTTTAATTAACTTATATTAAAAACATAACATATTATTCTATTAGAATTAAATGTAGCAACACCAGAGTATTATGAACGACGAAAGAAAGTTATTCTTGTTTTTTTTTTTTTTTACAGATTTCGATTGTATATTAACGAACCTAAATTTGAACAAAATTGATAAAAATAAATTTCAATTAACAAAGATAGAGTTATTACGTACAGAGAATATATTAAAAAGAGCGCTCGAGGTGGAATCTGGGGTTTCTGAGAAGCCAAGAGTAACGGAAGAACATCCTGATGGACGTAAGTATTAATGCAAAATTAAAATGTAATTTTTCTTTATCCTCGGTGCACAAAAACAAATGTATACTTAATTTTTTAAATAAATATATTATTATTTCCAGTCGATTTGTCTCTTTACAAAGACGAATCACAATTGAAGAGAAGAAGAGGTCACGGTCCGTACAAGCAGAAACAAGGTCAACGAAAAAAAATGAAACGTTCGGCAAGTTCATCCGAAGATGAAGCGTCCGAGGATGATTCGAAGGATGAAAAGAAATCACCTAAAACGGGACGTTCTAAAAAAGGATCGGTAAACAAAGCGTTGGCGATTGCTAAATCGGTAGCAAAAGGATCTAGCAGAGCGGAAAGGGCATTAAACCGAAGCACCAAAAATAGGAACAGTACAGGTAGCGAGTCTACCGGTGGTACTGCTGCAACTGCAACTGCAACTGCTACTGCAGCGGCTGTACCCGTTAATAGCGCTGTTACGCCAACGACTCCCGTTGATTCAGCTAAAAATAATGGCGCGGATCCGAAAAAGATTGATGCTAAAAAACTGACAAAACAACAACAACAACAACAACAAAGCAACAACAATACGAGTGGTGTACCAAGGACGAAGCTTCGTGGTAAGTGAGTTCATTGAAATCCGTTAGTTAAGTTTCTGATATTTCTGTAGTCACGAATAAAAAAAAAAATATATATATATATATATATATATATATATACACAGGGTGTCCTGTAATTGGTGGTACGAACGAGCAGAGGTGATTCTACATGAAAAATTTATTCGATAAACGTGAAATAAAATTTGTTTATATAAAAATTTGTTTTTGAGAAAAGTGAATTTAAAAATTAGTCGAGTATACATGCACTTGACTGAATTTGCAATCCTAGAAGTTAAAAGCTTTGTTTGATAAGAAAAAGAATAAAGTGATATACAAAATATTCGAAAGTAAAATAAAACCGACTTAAGTGAAATTTTATTCTTCATTTTTGACTTAGTTTTTCATATAGAATCAATCTCTCCTCGCTTGTATTACCAGTTACAGGATATCCTGTATATTTATGTATGTGTATGTATATATTATACGTATATACAGAATAAATCTGTATAACTGGAATCATTCTCGATATCTCTGTTAATATTAACTTTAATGAAAAAGTTTGAAACGTTTGTTATATTACCACGAAGGGGGCCAAACAATGTATTGTTTCAAGATTTTCATTGTTCTCAGTTTGGAAAGAGTTAAAAAGTGTTCTTTATACTTTTAAGCACAATCGCTGCGAAAATATGTATTAAATAATTATTTCCTTAACTATTAGTGTTATCCAAAAACACTTGTTTGGATCTTTACATTTCGTATTTAAACTTATACGCGTGCGTGTGAATATGTGCGTATGTATGTATGTTGCGTGTGTCCGATTTACCGTCCAAATGGTTGAATAGATTAACTTGAAATTTATATATATATATATATACATATAAAAAAAATAAAGTTACTTGCAACGAAAATTTATTCATTATTTCGGTTTCATCCGATTTCCGGTATTAAGAATTAAATTTATTCATTAAATATTTTTCACAGTAAAAATAGAATTTAATTTAATATCAATAAACAAAATTGTATGTGGAAATTATTTTTTGCATTATTTTAAGTGTAAAATACATTAATTATGGTTATTTTTCTCCCATTTAAAAATATTGGTTTTAATGCAACCCTATTTTTTTCTTTTATAAAACAAAAGATGTAAATAATATTTAAAAAAAAAAAGAACTCAATATATATTATTAATATTATATTTATCAAATTTATTTTGATTTCATTACTGAAATTCATTGACCCTTTATGACGTCACGTAATTTTTAAGTCACATACTCGTATATCTATATTTTTTAAATCTTATTTTACTTTTTTCTAGTTGACTTATATCCTATAAAATATAGATTACTTCAAAAGTATAATATTAAATATGGTTCTCTTTTCTTTTTTTTTTAAATATTATTTACATCTTTAGTTAGAAGAAAAATATCTTTTACTGACAATATATTTGTATATTTTTCCTTTATTATTATATGTATATAAAAATAATCCTTCGGATAATGTAATACACGTTTCAGACTTTTTTGTTAATATTAATATTTTTAGGAATATTGAAGTAGTTCCAATAACGTGAATCACCCTGTATATATATACATATATGCGTATGTATATGTGTTTATACTGGATATTTCATTTTAAATGATACGATCAAATATTTTCTATTCTATTAATTTTAAATTAAATCTTTGTTTTCTTCAGATATAAAGGTACAAGGAAATCATAACATTTTGTTGAAATAGAAATCAATATGTTTAGGTTTAACAAATATTTCCGAAAAAAATCAAAAGAAATTCAAGGAGCGCACCTACTATTTATCTCAACTTAAAAACACGAGATTTTTATGAAATAACTTTATAATCAATTTTTTTATTCAAAATGCAGTAGAGCTTTGATTAGAAACATTTGTTTATAAAATCAATAGGATCTGAAACATTTGACCGTATTATTTCAAATAGGATACTCTGCACATATGCAGTGAGTCCCAAGAGTATTCGTGTTTATTTAATTCATGTCGAAAAATGTCAACCATCGTGATAGCATTGTTTCAATTTAAATCGAGAAGATTTAAGTAACGCTATCTAGACATGTCAATAAAGTTAAATGAGTTGATTTCTCCAGAATTCTAGTGTACTGTCAGTTGTCGATAATGATCAAATGTAGCAAATTTTTTCAACATGAAATCTGAAGTTCGCGATCGCGCTACTTGGGACTCAAACAATTAATAATCATAAAATATATGTTTTTGCTTAGAAGAATTGTTCAAAGTTTGCGTTACAAGCAACATCAATTATTTACAATTGACAATGTTTGGAGAAGATACTACAAAATACTCTTGTGATTCATTGTACATACATATATATATATATATATATTATTTCGTGAAAAGATGGTTTAAGGGATGTTCGGTATATTGAAAAAAGGATGATGATAAAATCTGTAGGGTCAGCTGAAAACACGCAACAAGGGAGTAGTACTGCGGGACGTCCCAAACGCGTAGCTGCTTCAGCTCTATCAAATGAAGAAGCAGTAGCAACAGCAGCAATACCACGGAAAAAGCCACGTGGCAGAGCGTAAGATTGACATAATCAATTGTTTATCTTATGCCATAATATATTTACAGCCGAGTCTGTATCGTAGGCAATATGTACGTGTGGTGGTACACTCTTTAAAAAAAAGAAAAAAGAAAAAAAAAGAAAACAAAAGAAACACACAAACAAATAAAAAGAAAGAATAAGTAAAAAAAAAAAAAAAAGAAGTAAACAATTGCAATCAATTTACAATGTGTAATATATATAGATATATATTATGATCTCAAGATTCTTGAATGTACCAAAATGCTACGTTATATTATAGTCTAACGATACGGGATCAATGACTTATATTACAATGCGACAAATCGCATTTCAAAAACTATGGTAATAACAACAACAACCAATAACTACAATTACAACTACAGCAACAATTCCGAGACTTATTATGGTAGAGAAAGAGGGATAGAGGGAAAAAGAGAAAGAGAGAAAAAAAAATGATATTGTGATATATATCATGCTAAATTTGTACATATCGTCTACGTCTCAGACTCCTCGGGAAGAGAATAAAGTCACGGATATAGTTATGGGGGGGGGGGCAAAATGGTACCTTGGTTGAGTAATAACTATCTACAGGGTGTCATATGCTAATGCAGCACTCTTGCAATAGTCTATTTTTGATGTTGTGACTGAACCATACGTGATTCATTTGAGTTTTATTGTACACTTTCCATTGGATATGATAGCTATGTACAAATATATATGTCTGGGATTTGTATGCATTCTGTAAAACAGATTTATTAAGGCAGAGAGGTGAGAAAGATAATGATGATGATGATGATGATGATGATGGTTAAAACAAAAATAAACAAACAAAATATATAGGGTAACAAGAAAACACAAAAAATAAAAAATTAAAAATAAACAAACAAATTTGCGCGAACGATCCGTGATCGAAATTTTATCGATCTCTCTTATCCGCTGTGCTGATCGATAAGATATTTGTTAGAGAAAGAGAGAGAGAGAGAGAGAGAGAGAGAAGTACAATATCTGAATATGTAAACGCTGAATTTTAAGAGCTGTTTCTAAAATGGCATAACAGATAATATGGTCCAGCACCTATATATAAAAAAAGAAATAAAGACAGGCAGATAAAAAAAGAGAGAGAGAGAGAGAGAAAAAAAATATAAAGAGAAGAAGTGCCCTGAATTGTAATCCCTTGCCTCATTGTTGAATCCATTGATTCACGAGTGTGAAAAAAGAGTCTTATTAACAAAAATATGTAAAAGGTAGCACATTGATCATAGTTTTTTATAGTTTATTTTCAAAACTACATTTATCCAAATGAATTTGCACTGCGATCGATATAATATTATAATAATATTAATATTAATATTAATAATAATAATAATAATAATAAAAATAATAATAATAACATAGTTAAAGAGAGGGAGAGAGAAAGAGTGGAGAGGTGAGGAGAAGAGAAGGAAAATGGAAAAAATATTGAAATTGCAAACAAGAACAAACACACGGTGATGCCACATATGATTGATTTAGCCACATTCAAACGTATTTACACTTTAGAACGAAGAGGATAACATACGTGAAAAATTGGAACGATAATTAAAAAAAAGGGAGAGAGAGAGAGAGAGAGAGAGTGTAATACACTTATATATATATATATTTCCTCTTTTATATAATATAAGTTTTAATTAATGAATTAATTAAAAAGAAAGAAACACACAAAATGTATAAATAACTTCATTTATGCGTATACATTATTTTGATCAAAGATCGTGGATAACTTGTTGCAACGTGAACGTGTAAACATGTCGCCGCAATTATTACGAATCATTTAAGACGTTCCTTGGTAGTGCTTGTTATGAAATAATATTTTTCCTCTTGAATTATTTTTATACTATTATTTTTTTATATTAAATCATGATCTTCGTACCCATAACTATTCAATTTTATTTTTTTTAACTTTCCAGTAGATGATCTTTCTTATCACTTTAGATGATTAATCACGTTCATAAGCCTAGAATTGATATATAATCTCTGAATTATCTTTAATCTTTCATAACAATCACTGCCATTATCATGAACGGTGCTCTAGTGTTTATCAAATTAAATATAAATACAAATAAATAAAATAAAATAAAATAAAATAAAAGAAAAGAAAACACGCGACACACGCGTTGACGTTGCAGTGTATATTTACTATATAAAATAGATAGATTATGATTTACTCTTCACCAAATCTGAATTCTATACTTTTAAAATGTAGATGATAGTTTACAATATGTCGAGATGTATTTGCAATTAGTGAACAAGCGAATTTACGTCGTGACACACACACACAAACACTTTCTAATGGGGATTTATAAAAGAAGACATCGATTTAATGAATTATGTGTAATTAAAAAGAAAGAGAGAGAGAGAGAGAGAGAGTTATTGAGAAAATAAGAAACAAACAAATATATATTAATTTTTCTACTTTACTGTGTATTCAATATATTGGAAATTCACGATGGATTACAAAAACACAACAATGCATTTATTGGACCATAAAACAAAATACAACGTTTGTTTTCGATTATTAATATAAATTACTTAATGCTATCGAATATAATCGTTGAGTTACGGAACAAAAAATTCAAAAAATTAGCGCTTTTCGAATGCTGTTATTAAAAAAAAAAAAAAAGTTTGAAGGATTGTATTTTATTGTGTTTATTTGCCAGCCTCGTGAAATATTTTCAACATTTTTTTTTTTTTATAATACGTGCTACATTTAAATTATTCATTTTTAATTCTAAGAGATGGAATCATTAGGTAACAAATTAAACACACGGACGAAAGAGACAATAATTTTAAATCCGAAAAATAATCGAAATCGATGGGTGTATAACCGATGGTCGATAAAAACGCATTGGTCGATTTCACGTCGGAAAAAAAAAATATTCACTTAGTATTCAAACTCACACTCACGTTATATTGTGTCTTTTCACATTCAATCATGTTAATTAAATTTTAACATGTATTTATTCAATAGTCAATTATTAAAAGCTTAGTTTTCGATTCGTAAAATTCTAGTTAAAATCATGCATCGTAGAAAAGATATTTGATTACACGAATCGAAAGCTATTGCAAATACATATTTTTAATCTTGGATCGTCTTCAGAATATAATCATAATTTAATTTTTGTTTTGTTTAGATTTACTATGAAAATAGACAGTAGTATTCTATTATCTGGCGTGAGATCAACTGATAAGCAATTATCGATTTAAACGGCGTATCAACAACTTTTTGTTTTCTCAATAAATTTCTTAACAAAATTTATTTCATTTGTTTACATATATGTATATACACACAGGGTGTTTCATAAATCAGTGATACGAGCAGGCAGACATCTCTGATACGATTAATAATATTACATTATCTTATATTTATTATTACATTTCTATTTGTTAATTATGTGTGAGTGTGTGCAATGTGTGTATGTAAAAGATAGATATCTCATAATAATAATAATAATAATAATAATTCGAAAAATGTTCATTCATTGAGAAAATTGTAAATGATAAATGCTACTATTAAATTGTCGACTATTTAATAATACTTTGTATAATGCAAATATTGCGAATGTGACTTTTTGTCGGTATTTGAACGATCATGTTTTCTTAAATAGAATTTTGTTTTCCAAAAAAAAAAAAGAGAGAGCAGTTAAATATTGTAAAAAAAAACATTTTTAATCCTTTCTTTACTGTACGACCCCCATATAGATCGGTTGTTCAGACGTGGGCCCTTTGCATACAGATAACCCGTATATGAGTTGCTAAAAAATAATATTAATATTATAATTAATTAATAATTTATTTTACATTTTTACCATTTCATTTCTGTTTGTATCACCTAAATTATAGAAACACCCTTAAATCGTATGCATAAATGCAAACATTTGACATAATGGCAAATGTTGAACGCACAAATAAGAAAAAAAAAAAAAAAAAGGGGAGATAGATAAAAGAGTGCATGTGAGAGAGAGAAAGAGAATTGTTTAGGACGAAGAGAGAAAAAAGTATATATATATATATATATAAAAAAAAAAAAGGAAAGAAATACTTTTTTTTTTCTTCGCTCCCGTTTTAAATTGAATTGTACATAAGAAAATTTAGCTAATCAAAATTATTGATGATGAAGAAATGAAGATAAGAGAGAAAAAGTTTAAAAGATAAGAAACGAAGGATTTATTGTTTGTTCTCGTAAAAAAAAAGCAAAAAAAAAAAAATACAAAAATTAAAAAAGAAAATAAGCGAACGTGTACACACCACAACAAATTTTAGGAATGAAGTCTTGTAAATCGAAAATGAAACCTTCCTGGTGTTGTCTTGTCTTTCTATATTTGTTTCAACGGTCAAAAATTTCTAAATATCCCCGGAATAGGAACAATCTAAGTAAATAAAAATAGAAAAACAGGTAATAGATCAATAAAAAAATGCGATTGCGAATGAACGAATTGAAGATTCTTGTAAGTTTGCTTACGACTTCGTTAACGTTTAATGGAAGGAAGGAATGAACGAACGAACGAACGAAGAAACGAAAGAAAAGAAAGGAAAGGAAAGGAATTGGAAAAGGGGAAAAAACGAGCAACAACACTCCCCCCTCCCCCAGGCATATCGACCTCTCTACCGGAAATAGAATACGATATAATTATTATATTAAAAGTGATTAACATGAATTTTATTTCGACACACCTTCTAATTGTATTTTTATTTTGTTTGCGTTTAACTGAAAGACAAACAATGAAAAATAGCAATCCTGTCATTGGTCCATCGCACATACACACATATACGCCCACATGAGTATACACGCGAGAAGACGAAAGATGAAGAAAAAAAAAAACAAATTTTAACAAAAAAAAATAAAAAAAAATAAAAAAAAAATATACAAAACAATGCTGTATAAAATAATAGTAAAGAATTCTAATACGACTATTGAAGAAATTTGTTTCGTATTGTTTTTTTGGGGTCATTCTAATAATAAATTTTGTCGTTTCTTTTCTCTCTTTCTGTCATTTTTATTTTTTTTTTTTTATACTATTTTTTATTGTTACTTTTTATTACTTAATATTGTTATTTACAACGA